CTCAGCTTGCTGCGGCGCCAGGACACAACCGACTACCAGGGACACGGACACAGGACGCAGGACACGGGACACGGACATGGACACAAATCCATTGGACGATGGGCATCGACGCTGGCATTCCCATTGTTGCCGCGCTCGAGGATTCGGGACAATTGTCAGGCAATAAATCGATGTGTGTAGGGCTGTAAATTTTTGGCGGATGGCCGATGAAAAAGTGCATATTATGCAATTCGACAATACGCCAAACATGTCGACCTACGCACCACCCGTTCACCCACCCACCATCCAGCCATCCAACCACCTCGCACCACCCACCACCGGAAACGGAAGCGCGCACACAAGTTCTTCTCTTCTCTCTTCTTCATCTTCGGGCTGCAACAGCGCTTTGCATATCAATGAAAATGCATAAATTTTTATTCGCCCTCAATTTCGCCGGCGTTTTTTCCTTCTGCCCGCTGCCTGCTCGGTTGCACTCGTTGCATCCTCACCCATCGCACATCGAACATCGCCCATCGCCTGCTGCCCAATCCCGTCGTCCATCAAGGGGCATAAATCAGTTTGGAGGCAGCGGCCGAAAAAAGAACAAAAAAGATTTAGCAACACGCGTAGCTCCGCTCCGGAAGCCCCTGAAAAAATTGCAGCCCCATCCCCAACGGATCAGTTCTCCGGGCGGCCGCAGTGACGAAACGTAATCCTTGTCGAAAAACTGCACCCAGGCAAAAACACTGAAAATCCATAAAAATGCATCATAATTTCCCGGACTCTCGTGCAACTGGAACTGGATCACCATCGGCATCGGTGGCATCATCATTGTGTGTAGCGTCCAAATGGCCAGCGAAGCTATAGTGGACACCAGATAAAAGGGGCCGTGCCAGCCGAACAACTCGCTGAGCGAACTGTGAAAAAATATCCACTAGGGGTACTCAATCAGGAGCTTAGAAATTTCCGAACATGTGTAATAATATTTAAAAGGTCAAAAGCTTTTTCAAGATATTTTATATGCATTGTTTCTAAAAGTTTTTAAATGATATTTAAAAGAAAAATAAACTACTACCTACAAACGAAGGCCTACAAAAAAACAGCCTGTTAAATATATTTAAAAATTAGTTAAAAGAACAAATTTAGATTTATAGTTTTCAGTTGCTGTGATTGATTTGTTTAGTTACATCCAAATAGGTTATCATAAAAATATGATTAATAATTTGGTAAACTTATAAGTTCCACAATAAAATGATTATAGTACAAAACAATAATTATTATTTAATTCTAAAGAGTGGAACTGGAATTAGGTTGTTCAACAAATTTTATTAATAGAGCCTATTGAATTTTTAAATAAAAACCTTGAGTGACCCTCTTGGGCGTCATTTACATGCAACAAGCCCCACTCTCGCTGCTTTATAAGCCATGTCGCTGGCTGCACTGAATGGGCCCGTCAAAGTCAGCGGCGTGACCAATCGGGAAAAGGGAGCTCGACCTGCTGGGGGGACTTTCCCAAACCCATTCCCCAGCTGCCCACCGCAATGCGTTAATAGATTTGCAGTGCCTCCGCACCTGAGTGGCTCCCCCGGAATACAACCGATTGCATATAATCACAGGATACTCGGTCATTTCGTCGGGCCCTTTGTTGTTCTTTTACTTGGCCAAAGAGCGGCCGTAAATTTTACTTCACTCGGGCAGACACTCCGCCTAACTCCCACAAAGGAAACGGGGAAAGGACAGCGATCCTGTGCACAATTTTGAGTGCATTCGATGCGATACGTTGGCGGCCTGTCCACATGTCATCCTTGCATTTATTTATTGAATTATGACTCCTGAGCCCGCCAAAAGGTAAAAACCGAGAAGAGAAGCAAGGATTGTAAATGAAATACGGGGAGAAATGATGGAGAACCTTTTAAGGTTCGGTCTCATTCGTTGAAGCAATGGGAAAGTGTTACACATTTAAAGTATTTACTCTTATTCGAATTTAGTTGGCTTGCATTGTACAGTTGTTTTCAAAATAATAGGAGTGACCATCACGAATGTGAAAATCGGTGAAAAAAACTATGTCAATACGAATTAAATTTCTTAAATTCATTTTTTTTAACAAATATGACTTGTATTAAAGTAATTAAAACTAAAAAAAGTTACTTCATTAAATACATACTTAAAAAAAAAAAAAAGGGAACAACACCCAATATGGGTTTCTCAAAATAATAGGAGCGTTCAAGCAATTTCTCTCAGAACTTTTGAAAATAATATATAACGATAAAATATGGTTATATTAAGTAATTTAATGTTAAATGTAATTAAAAAAAACTATAATTAGTACTTCGTGGCACCACCTTTATTGGCTATCACTGCCGCACAGCGCCTTGGCATGGAATCCACCAATTTCTGGCATCTTTCGGGACGAATCGAGGTCCAAGAGGCCTTTACAATTTCCCAAAGCTCGGAAACATTAGTTGGATGCCTTTCTGCGACCGCCTTTTTAACGTCTGTCCATAAATTTTCGATCGGATTCAGATCGGGGGACTGGGCGGGCCATTCAAGTACTGCAATCTTATTGTCTGCAAACCACTTCTTAGCCACTTTACTTGTGTGCTTTGGGTCATTGTCTTGCTGGAAGACCCAAACCAGTGGCATTTCTTCGCTAGCATAAGGCAGCATTGTTTCCTGCATTATTTGGACATATCCAGGACCATCCATAATATTTTTAATCCAATATATTGGACCTACGCCATAGTACGAGAAACATGCCCAAATCATTATATTATGTCCGCCATGTTTGATCGTTTTAATGCAATATTTGGCATTAAATTCGGTGTTAGGTGGTCTTCTAACGTACTGTCGAGATCCTTTGCCACCATAAAGGACTATTTTCGACTCATCCGACCACAAGATGTTACGCCACTTTTCAACTGACCAGTTGACATGGCTCTTTGCAAATTTCATTCTTGCGGCTATGTGCTTCTTGGTGTGGAATGGAATTTTCCGTGGACTGTGGGCAGTCAAATTTTGCTTCTTTAAAAGACGACTTATTGTTGGGATACTTGCGTCCAAGTTAAGCTCATCCTTGATTTCTTTGCAGCTTGCAAAAGGATGCTTCTTCGAGTACCTTGCAACACGTGTAGCCAGTTTATCGGCTAGAACTTGGGGTCGGCCGCGGGTTTCCGGCTTGGGTGAAAATTTTAGTGCATTTCGGATCATGGAATCACCGCATCCAATTATTTTTTGTACTTCCTTGTACGTTTTCCCACTTGAAATCAAGTTTTTGATCAAATCACGCCGCTCAGGTGTGCAATGTTTGCCACGACCCATTGCTTTAAATTTTCGATCTTAAACGTTAAAATTGTAGTTGGATATTAATCATTCTATACTTTTAAGCCGTTTTTTTAAGAATAATTACCTTTTTTTGCGCTCTGAACAGATTAAAATGGCACACTCCTATTATTTTGATGAGCGCAAAATGAAGTTTGTTTACGAATTTGGGTAATTCTCAGAAAACGAAGATAGTAAAATGAAAAAATAACGGTACCTCAGAATGTGTATCCATAAACAAATTTGGAAAAAGAAATAAAATTGAAAAAAATGAACGCATAACATTGCTACAGAAGGGACAAGTGCATATGCAAAAGCACTCCTATTATTTTGAAAACAGCTGTATTAAAACCAGTTATTTGTATCGTAATAACATATATTCAATGAATACTGACACAGAATCCGGAGTAATAATCACTTGTATCAAAAAAACCAAGTTCTTTTTAAAATGGAATAACAATTATTTGCAGTTTATCAATAGATGCAGTAAAACTCTTTCCGCTTTTCTTTTCTTTCTTCTCCATATTTAAAATGAAAGAAATTAAAAAAGTGACTGGGTTCGATTCACCATCCTCCATAAAAAATCTGAATTAAAACTTATAAAGGTTTACCGTTTATTACAATTATTTTCATTTGGTTATTGAAGTTTGTCCTCATTATATGTTTTTACATATGTTTTTATTTTAACGAATAATTGATTTTATGCATACTGCAAAGAGGTTACTAGATACTTATTTGACACGTTAGCGGGTTTTTATGAATTTATGAATTTCTTTAAGTGTGAAGTTGCACATTTGCTCCCCTTTACCAGAGGTCCCATCATAATCTTCCACCAGCGGATCTCCATTTGGTCCACGCGTTGTTTGCCTTTCGAGACTGGCAAAACCAACACGGCGAGCAGATGAAAGAACAGCAGCTGGATTCTTGAGATTTTACCCAATTGGCAAATATTTGAGGCGGGCAAACGGCGGCGCTGTCTTTTTAATTGTTTCTAATTTCTAGTGTTGACTCGGCGGTGTTGGAGGTGGTCCCCACCCAAGACATCTGTCCCAGGAAGCCGCTTCTAGGCTGCCGACATCCAGCGCTATCATCTGTTGACACACTCCCACATGTGGAGTGTGGATGTGGATGGAGGGGGTGTGCTCCAGTTTTCCAGAATCAGATCTCGCTGTTGACTCTGGGTGCTGTTAACGCTTCAGGTTTTGAGCGGAGATCAACATTTTAATTAGCCACGAAATTAGGAGCGGAGATTTGGATCTTTAAAGACGCCGCCAGTTAAGAATTTACTGGTTATAAGTCAGAACCTACATACGTGATTTCAAAGTTTGCTTTTCAAATTTGGGGGGCTTAGTTTTCTTTCGGATTTCTTTATAATTAGATGTTGACATTTATAAAAGAGTGGGGTGTTTCATTGTTTGCTACCCACTTCTGTTTGAGATTTCGAAAAATATTTTCTTTCATCTTCCGAACTTTTTTCGTTTGAAATAAATTTCCAGTAAAAAACATTTTATGAACGTTTTCCTTTTTTTATTATTTAACCTTTAAAACTTGCATACTATTAGAAGTTATTTTAAAAAGCGTGGAGTTATTATTATATCACCAACTTTACTTTTTAACTAGCTTCTCGTTCTGGTCATTACATTTAACGTTTAAATCTCTCTGTTAAAAAAACTGACGTTTTGGAATATAAAATCTAGTATGTATATAAAATATATACCTAATTTTGTTTCGAGCGGATTTGCGCTAATTCACACAGCTCTCGTCACGTTTCGATGGCCAGATAAGATCTGTAATCGATTTATTGCCAAGCTCTGCTGGCCATTGTCAAAATCATCAGTTTTATTTCGGTGGTCGAAGTGGTAGCTCCAAAACAAAAAGTACTTTAATGGATAACTCGCGTGTTTTGAGGATCACAAATGTTGTGCTTTTACTCACGGCCTATCAGATGTATTGGTTTGAGAAGAAGGCGCAGAGGTTCCGATTGTCCCTGCCCGGAGTTGTCTATATCTTTGTGCTGGGTGTTATATACGCGGGATGCTTCTCCCAACATTTCGATGGCTCGTCATCGCTTCTGAATGTTCTGAACAATGTGTCACCATTTCTATATGAATTAACCAGGATTCAACTTTATCTGGGAGCAAAGGCCTTTGCGTATGCCGTCTTTTCGTCGGTAAAATCCATCGGTGCAATTAACTCCCTGGTGGAATCTCTACCATCGAGAGATCATGCATTTAAAAAAGATGAGGTCATAGCCTACGTTCTGCTGGGTTCAACTTTTGCCATTCTATTCGTTTTTATGCTATACATTGCGTATGAAATGAAGTTCGAGTTGCCTCCTTTGCAAGATGCAATGATTGGACTGGCTTTATTTCTTCCCCATCTGGTTTTAGCTGGATCTGTGCGACTTTACATAGTTTTGGCCTGGTTAAGTCGCGGACAACTAAAGGAACTCAAAAAAAGTGTGGAGGAAGAGTTAAGAGCGAATCTGGCAACCGAAGAACCGAATACCGCCTCCACTTCATTTACAATCTCTACGAAAAGCTCAAGCTTGGAAAATTTGGAGAGCCTGAAAAGAAAATTAGAGGTTCTGGCAGCCAATTTTCGATACTTTTTCCAGTCACTGCAGCATTCTTTGGTATTCCTGTTTGCCATGAATGGAAATTGCCTACTGGGAGGGATATATTCCTTTACGTATTACTGGAGTACTTGGAACGTAATCTTCGAAGATCGAAAGCGAAGAATCTTCTATGCGGCAAATGCATCCATTTATGCCTGTATTGCAAGTGATTACATCTGCCTGATGTTCGTTATGATTATGATGGAAAGAGAGGTAAAATACAAAATAACATTTAACTATTCACAAATTCAAGCTAATATTAACCATTTCCAGCGGGAAAGTTTCACTAGATTACTAGATATCATGCTCTCCCAGAGGAATTCTTTGTCAAAGAAATTGCGACCCCTGGCCAAAGATATAAAGTCCGTTCTCAAAAGAGCTTTTTATTTAAAATTTGACTCGTTCATTCCGTTTAATATCAGTTACGTCAGTGTGGTGAGTTTTGCTAACCAAAATAAGTGTTTTTAAATCATTTAGCATAATTTACAGATGGTGTTCGTCCAACTGCTGATAATTGCGCTGTTCGTCATTTCCCATTATCTGAATGACGAAATTGTGTTGCTGAAAGAAGAGTTAAGCAGCAAATCCGATGAGTAACTTAGAGAATATTTACATGGTCTCGTTTGCAACCAGTGATGTACTCTAAACATTTCCCGAATCCGTCCTTCTGCCTTTCCCCTTTGGTAACAACTTCATATTAATGACCATCATATGCAAACTTAATCCATAAATTTATCCGTTTGCCAGAGCCAAACAGGACGAAGCAACAAATCACGATTAAGTTGCTAATAAAATGGTTCCCCAATCAAAGTAAAATGTGTTGGTTTTCACTAGAGATGAACCAACTTTTGGAAAAACCAGTTTCCAAGTTGGTCAACACAAAACTGATTTTAACATTTTATTACGTTGTTACATTTTATTACGATATACGTTTACAGTAAATATTTGATATTTTTGTTTTAAAACTATATAAACTTTTTCTACTCTTTAGAGCACAAACATTTTTTAACACTCCTTTAAACAAATGGATACTACATTTTTTAACTGGCCAATTTTCTTTCATGTTTTTAAAATTAATTGATATCAGCAAGTAATCACAAGCTTAAAATTAAAATTAAATATACGTTTAAGCCTCCTTTAGTTAGGGTTATTTTTTAAGGAACTAGAATATATGTATTTCTTAAAACCATCTCTAACATTTTCTGGACTAGTCTTTGAATCATTTTGCTTGCGGTTGTTTTTACAAACTTTACGCCCAAGCAAGATCTTCCACTGTGGAATAACAACACGCAGAACGGCGGCAAATGAACATAATTCGTGTTAGGAAATCTACATAATATTTACTGTGATGCCAACACCCGCCCATCCAGCCCATCCAACCCATCTAACCCGAGAATCCCAGCCAGCCCACTCACATCCTGGGCGGTTCACAGGCCATGGCCACGCATGCAACTCTGTGGAGATGCTGATGAGCAGATAAATTCATTAGGCAAACCCATGTAATTGTTCCACCAGGGCGACGACGAAGCCGGTTCAAAAGGGGGTAAGGAGGTGGGTAAGGGGAGGGGATTGGGGGCAGGATGTGGCGGACATTTGGCTCAGCTGGCAGAGCAGGCGGCGAAGGCAAGCCAGACGACCGCAGATCTTAAGTTTTCCCCCGGAGGACGGAGTTGGGAGTCACGTAGTCGGAGTTGCCGGGCGAAGCGTTACTAAATACAAATTAAACAAATCCATAAATAATGTTTAATAATATTAACAAGGATATTAGCAGGGACTACGCATACACACCCACACACACATTCACCCACTTGGGAGCAGCAGATGCATCCAGACTCCAACTGCATTCCGTTGGGCGTGGTCGTCGTGGTTTATGGACACGTCGCCTCTGCCACCTGGCTGTTTGCCTGCTCCCCAGATCGGAACATGGGTGTTTACACGGCCTGAATTTATCAATCCCACTTGGCTTATGGGCCTTTAGCTTTTGATTAGAGCAACGTTGAAACCTTTGTTTGCTCAGAATTATGTTCGATTGCAGTATTGTTAGACTTTTTAAATCATAACAGCCTTAAGTTGTTTGACTTCCAATTAGTAATACTAATTAAATTTACTTTAAATGGGTTGTTACAAGATAAGAAAATGAGAAGTTAAAAAAAATTAATTATTATAAGGAGAAGTAACATGTTATATAATTACGTTCCAAACTCATATTATTTGCCTTTGAGATCCTTGAGGTACTTTTCCTTTCTGGCAATTTGTTTCTCCACGCGCAGAAGTTCCATTAGCAAATATTCCTGGCGAGATTGTTTCTTCTGAACACTGTATGAACTTTCTGGCTTGTTAGGTTTCCTTGGGGCATTCGGATTCACTTTTGGGGGATTCCTGGCTGGAGTTCTCATCGACGACTTTGAGGAAGGTCGTGTGTCCGTTTGTTTTCGATTTGCAGATTTGGAAGAGGATGGTGTTTCAAGACATTTCGATGAGGGCGTTGATGTTCTTCCAATATTTCTTGATGTCGTTTTAGCCGGGGTTCTCGATGAGAATTTACTTGTATTTCCAGTTTTCCTATAGCTGGCATCAGATTCCGAGGAGGAGGAGGAGTATTCGTCGGAGCTTTCCGTGCTGGATTGATAGCTGGATGAGTCGTAGGAGTCACTAGAGCTTGAAGAACTTGGGCTGAAACGAGCTCGCTTTGGTTCTGGTTGCCTGATGATTGAGACAAGCCTTTCAGGACTGCGAGATGGAGTTCGGGGTCCGCGATTCCTGGTGGCGCAATGCCATGGAGGACTTGGTGAATGGTGACGTTTGGCGTAGGGTTTGCGGATCGAACAAGGAGAGGCCCTTCTTTCCCGGATATGCGAACGACTACGATTGTAGCTCCTGGGTGGTGAATCCTCAATGGAACTGTTACTCAACGGCGACTCCTGCGGCGTTGTGGAATGCGAGTTGCTGTCCAGTCGTCTTTTCCACGTTATCGGTCTTGGTTCCTGATAGTTATATAACAGCTCTTCGAATGTTGGGGTTGGCAGCAGAGGAACGCGCTCCTTAACCTCCGGCTGTTCTTGCACGTAATAGGGATCGACGTCCATGTCGTTCAGGCCATGCGGTGAAGGCAAAGGACTTCTTGGCTGCCAAGATATGTTACTTGTTACAGGCATTTTGTAGCCGTCCGCAAAGGGCTCGAAGACCCCTGGCCAAACTTCATTGATTGTTGAGGAGAACAAAAACATTGGATTAGTTATCTGGTTAAAATAAGTTTTAAAATACTAATGTATATATATATATATAACATATGTTGTAAATAACTATGGGTATTAGCTTTTTACAAAAAACTTTCAAAGTAAAGTTGGTTTATTCTGATGACTCAGAAAACTCACCTGGGGGAATCGGTGCAGTAGCCACTGGCAGGACCTTCTTTTCGAACATCACATAGTTACCCTTGTCGGAGGGCTCGGGATGACGGAACCGACATTTGCTTCCATAAAAACAGGTTTTACGGATGTGATAACGACAGATCGGCATACCACTTTTCTCTTCTAGTGGCAGATTAATTGGAACATCCTCTTCATCACAAAATACTTCCCCATCTTCTAGATCTGACACCTTTTCGGCAGCTACAATTGGACCAATTTGAGCCTCGGAAGTGGTATCCTCGGATAACTCCCCGGACTCCAGAAGATTATCTTCGTCTTCCTCTACCGTGTTATTATCGGTGTTTTCCTCCAATTTTGTCAAATTATTTGGCATATCATTATGCTCGCCAAGTACTTTACCATCCTTGAGTTTTACAGCAGATCTAATGTGGTTTTGTGTCAATCTAACTTCATCTTTCTGCAGCACAAATTTATCATTTCCAATAGAATCTTGAGAGTTACTTTTGATATATTGTGTGGTTTGAACTTGAGTTGCTACCTTACTGATCTCAGGTTCTAAATTATCAATTGGGGTAGTATCGGCTTCCTTGTCCAGATTCTCACCGGCCTCCAAATTAGATTGAATCACATTTGATCGTTGTTCCCAACTGATATCCTCTGATAACCTACTAAAATTTAGTGGATTGCTGATTTCGTATTCCACCAATGGTTTCTTACTGGTTGTTGTGAACTCTTTATGATTCTTTTTCGAAGATGTTATACTTGTATGATCAGATACGCCTAAAAGATAGTGCGCTTCTAAAGTGGTGTCTTCGGAAATGTTACTTAAATCGTACTCCACCAATGGCTTCACCTGTTTTTTCAGAGTATTTTTGGAAATAATGCCTTGATTCAGGTCTAAACCCCCGTGATCAGATAGAACTTCGTCCTGATGGTGTTCCAACGTGATATCGTTCGGTACCTTTGAGTCCTTATCTTCTTCTTCTAATATTTTCCCTGACGGATATGAGTCCCTGTTTTTAAACGGAATTGCATTTTCAAATTCCTTAATTTCGTCGGAGTTAGTTTTAGTATTTTTCATTTCGTTTTGATAACTAACTCCGTTTGAAGAACCAATTGTTTCTTGGCAATTCTGACTTCTTATTAGAGACTCATCTGCTGAAAACATAGAAATTTCTTCTTCTGGGTTCCGTAAAGTGGAGCAAAATACTTCATTAGGATCGGTTTCGCTTTCTAAGGTAGTATCCTTATCTTCTGATTCGGAAGTATCGCATTTTTTAATTAAATCTTCATTAGAAAGTGTTGTTTTTATCGTGGTCTTCTTTGCATTTTCATTCTTAATGGAAAGAGTGCAATCTGTTTTTCTAGAACTCCCTTTACCTACAAAACACAAAATGTGTTTATTTAAAAGATATTAGGTTGACAATTTTGCCATTAAATAAATTAAAGCTTACCGAGTTCCGTCAAGCTATTAAAACTCGTTTGGGGCGAAGAATGTAGTAAGACTTCCGTTGGCACACTGCTCAAAATGTTCTAGTTTAGTTATTAAAAGATTAAACAAAGACAAAGGTATACAAACCCCATGTGTTTTTTGACTGGTTCATTAAAGGATCACTGCAGGTGTCGCTATCTTTAAATAAGTGTGTTAAAACAGTCAAATGCGTTTTCTATATCTTTAACTTCTTACCTATAAAGATTTTACTTGCTTTTTCCTCGGATGTCGAAAAGTTGTTACTGGAATTGTTTTTATTATTTGTTTTGGGAAAATCCGCATCTTCCCCCATCTTTGATTTACGGAAAGTATTGTTGAGTTGAATGGGTTTATAATTTAATAAATAAATGGTTTCAATAATAAAAAAATAGATTCAATTTGTAAATGCATGCAAACTCTCGACTGTCATGTGCTTATTTTCTTTGAATGCATATGTATGTATGTATGTGTTTTTTCCAAAGAAAAATCAAGATATTAATTTTCAAATTAGGTTCGAAATAAGTATCTTACCTTCCAAATATATTCGAGCAATTCCAATCTTGTGTTTACAGCCTTTTAAAGTTAAACTTCTCTGATTCCTGAATAACACGCTTAATTTAACAATGAACTAGGCACAACTCTTGATATTGACAAAAACACATTTTTATTTGTTATCGAAGCTCGATGACACACAGGGTTGTCACTCTTACAGAATAGAACTGCACGTAATAAAAGCGTTTAAAAGGTCATACTGAAAATGCATATCGTTAAGTCGACCAACACATAGGTACATATGTATGTAGTTTAAACTTTAAAGTAAATTCATTAAAAGATGAGTTTTTATAGTTCGTTAAAAACTGCAATATAACTTTGCAGTTTTATGTGAAGACATTGTTTTACTTATATGTAACTGGAAGATCATCGAAGTCACTAACAATAACATCGCTGTTTTTCAATAAATTTCCGAGCCGTAGTAATTTTTAACATATGTCTGGCAGTCAAAATATTTTCAGTCTATTCGATTCTTTTAACTTTCACATTCAGATTATTATTTTTTTTTTTTTTTTTTGAATAATTTATAATTACGTATTAAAAATAGATAGACATAAAAGTTCGCCGATGGAAAATGGTTGGATAAATCTGTTCAAGACAAATGCTATCAGCATGCAAATGATGTCAAATCAAATGTACTTCCCTTAAAATGAAATAATAGAGACCATCCTTTGTACATTTAAATGAGAATCGAAGTGCAGGTTGGCCGGGATAAAAATTAGACACAGACAATTCCCTCAGCCCCTGGTCAAAACGCTTGGAGCAACAGCATCAATTTCCACAAAATTGCGCCACTAAATTACCATAACGCTTGGCCGACCTGCTACAAAACCACCCAAAAACCACCCAGCCCACTAGAAGTCCCCCAAAACTAACGGAAACGTATTAGGGCAACTCGAGAATCCAAACAAAAAGGCGACAAGTTGAGAGACGAGAAGCAGACGAATCCAAATCGAGAGACAAACGCCGTTGCCGCAAACAAAGAAAGCAGCGCGAAAAACGCAAACATCAGCGCAATGCGGCAATGGAGTTACCTGGTGGCCCAAAAGGGGGAGGGAGGTTGAAGGGAGGAGGGGGAAGGGGGAGGGGATGTCCCACAGGACTTGTAAATAGCAACATGGCAAACAAGTTAAAAAGTTTTCCTCTTGTTCTTTGGCATTTCTTTATGCCCGGGTCGCGGCCCAAACATAATCGTTTCTCATTTCACTGCTGGAGGAGGTGCCCCCCAGACGCCACTCCTGTCCGCCCCAAAAGTACACTGCGAAAAATACAAACAATGTTTGCAATTGAAATGAAATGTGCAGAGCATTCACTACAGCCCAGATCGAAACCATATCTTTATTTTAATTTATTATTTATTTATTTATTTTATTATTTTTTCTTTGTAAATATGTACATTTTTTGCTAAATTTTATTTGTGTTGAAATAATGAGCTTTAAATTAATTTTTATATTTTTCCTACATTTATGCCAGCTGTTAAACAGATACAAAGGAGATAATGTATAAAAATAATTACGGTAAAATATTTTATACCTTTTCTTGGTTATTTCCCTAAGTGCACTCATTGCCTCCTGGTTACCTCCGCTCACCTTTTCCTCAGCCCGGTCCGCAATTTAGTTTTGAGCGTAATTTCTTTTAATAGCGCCCGCCAACAGATAAAATTCCGCTGAAGTAGAACCCCGATCCCCAGGAAGATGTCTCGTCCTGACACTGACATTGTTGTCTTCTCGCGCCCAGTGCCACGCCCCCACTCCCAACTCATTGGCGGGTCAAAGGGGCGGCCTCTCCGCTGGCGGATATCGCAAGTAAATTGCTTAATTTTGGCCATGTCTCGAGGTCTGGGGTTAGGCGTCTCTTCGGTTTGTTTTATTGGAGGTAAGGACATTTTGGAGGGGGGAAGGACCTCCCCTAAGGCCGCTCAGGTTGACGTTTTCTGGGCCATGACGATTTCATTTGCATTTTATGATAATTGAACTTCATAAATATGTCACGGCAGCATCTTAAAAGTGCCAGAGGTAAGCACACACACACACACAAACACCCACACACACAGCGAAACAAAACATCCGGTTCCTTTTCCGGCGAAAGTCCTCTTCATTCCGGGTGCCATTTGCTTCATAATTATTTTGAAGTGTCGCCGTTAATTTGAAATACTTATGGTCGTGTGGGGCTGGACCGTAAACTGCCACACAAAAGTGGATAACGACGGTTGCAATTTAAATATGTTAAATACATTTTATGTAGAGGGTACGACAGGATCGTTAAGATGTTGATACTTAGTGGTAGCGGTGGTTTCGGAGGAGGAGAATTTTTACTAGGTGGATTCAGGTTGAAGTAGAGATTATAGTTAGCAAAACTAAACAGTAGACATGAGAGACATTGTGATTCATTATTAAATTCATTCGCAGAATATAATTAAAAGGAAAAGCTTATCAATAATATATATCTATACTAATATAATATTATAAAGAGGTATTGTAGTTTGTTTGTAACGAATAGGCTCCGGAACAACTGGTCCGATTTAAAATATTCTTTCACCGATAGAAAGCTACATTATTTTCGAAAAGTTGTGTAGTTATTGCACGCAGTATATAAGTCGGAACGAGCCGGATCGGCCGACTATATCGGATAGCTCCCATACAAGAGGTCAAAAAAATAAAGGAAAAAAATTATTACGCCGTTGTTTTTCATCGAATTGACTTAATTTCTTCCAGATGGCGTTTTCTAAATACTATTGAATTTTGGATTAAATTTGATCAAAATCGGATAACTCTATCATTTAGCTGCCATAGGAAAGATAAAAAAATATATATAGAAATAATGGCAAAATAATCATAACGTTGTTGTTTTTTATTCCACGAGCATGATTTTTACAACATCGACTTTATGAACTACCCTTTAACCGAGAAATAAAAATTCATAAAAATCGATATTTGCTATATTACTATATTTACTATATCATATAGCTGCCATATGAACAATAGTCGAAAATATGGAAAATTAATAGAAAAGTCGTCATAGCTTCGATGTTGTTAGTCTTTATGTATTTTGTTCGACATGTTTGATGACTGCAAGGGTATATAAGCTTCGGCTTGCCGAAGCTAGCTTCCTTTCTTGTTTTAACTCAATTTTTGTGGTTTTCATTTATCATTTCTAAGTGAACTAAGTTTTTTCACATATTATGCAGTGTTCTCTGCTCAGTTAATTTCATGTGGCATTCATTTTTATTTTTTTGGTAAGTTGAACTGAGAAAATTATGCAGATCATGCATTTGAGGATAAATTCACCACTCTGTCCGTAGTCCAAAATGCTTAGAGGACGAAGTGCAAACATTGGCCGCCGCACAAGACATCCAAGCCAGCAACAAGTGTATTCACAAAACTTAAGCGATGAAAGACAAAATACATATATAAGGAGAATGAGCACATGAAGATCATTGGCATCAAAGTCAAACTGGAAAAGTGTTAAATCACCATCTCTCTATACTTTCATATATTTGAAAAATTTTGCAAAATAATAGTCAATGTTGTTAAATTGTGTTGACCAGCGAAGCGGTCACAGGAGTCTGGTCATTATTAGAACTCTAAGAAGCGAAACACTATGTTTGTAAAATTTATATCTATTTTGCTGTAACAAAATCAGGCGGCGCTGGACGAGTAATCGTTTCAACTACCCAGTCGGTTAATACATACATATTAAAAAGCCAGAAAACCGATTAAAAGTAAAAGGAGGATCAGCTGACCACAATGCCGCCCACAACCAGAACCCAAAAGAGGATCAGGGATAGAGAGCTCCAGGCCAAGTCGACTTGCGGAAAGAAGTGTGTGGTGCTGGTCCCACGCCTGACCCAACGGGAAATCCTTTCCGCTTGCAATCCCCAATCCGTAAGTGGCTTGCCTCCGGAAGCAGGCGAAAACCACGCTGACTCGGAGGCCAGGCACTGATCCAGCGCTTTAACAGCCGTCTTGTTTACTGGTTATTAAGGATCAAGCGGACGAACTGGCCCAGTAGCGTTGTCAGGACTTGTTACCCCAGGAATTGCAATCAGTCGGTGTACCTAGTTATTTATTTATTTTATTATACTGAGCATACATCAAAAGGAATTAACGATGGAGAAGGGGACATACATGTAATACTTTCAATTATACAGAACATTCAAACTGCAACAAAAAATACAATTCATATTATTGCGTACATAAAAAGCGGAATGGATCATGCTTCTCAAAACTTGATCGACAAATATACATAAATAGGTTATCATTATTTCGAAATAAATAAATAAATAAATATTTCGAAGGGTAGCTTACATATGTTGACTTAATATTATTGAAGGAGTATTTTGTTAATCAGACCGGGGCAGAATAATATTATATATCAATTTAGAATCCGTCACTGGGCCACATATAATAAATAAAATATATTATATAATATTATAATATTCATTCATTCAAGTTTTAAATTCAAGTACTTATAGACAAATAAAGACGCTCCAATTAACCCACATTTGATCGTTAAAATTTCCTTGTTAACAGACACATCACGAAACATCCTTAGATTCCCTTCAATAAGTCTTCCCCATCCAAAAACCAACTCGCTCGCTGAGATTCCTGCTCAATAACTCACCTAGTCAGCAACTTAACTTATTCACCCTTTCGGGGCTCAAAGAAAAAATGAGCATTTAACGCCTCATTAGAATCAGGACGTCAAGGCATCCAACAAGCCGGCGACGACGCAACCATCTCGGGGCTGGGACCTCGACTACACAACAGGACTACACAACAGGACGGGGGCAATGAATAAACTCCGGCATAAACAGGATGTATGGCCGCAAAATCCCAGCAGCGCCTTGCAGCAGCGGCAATGAATATTAATGAGATGTCATCAGTCTTTCGTCAAATTAAAACGCACAGCGCCAGCGGCCCAGAACGGTGAGCCAGGATACACTTCGCAATGGAGATGGAGACTGAGTCCCGAGTCCTGAGTCCTGAGTCCTGAGTCCTGAGTCGTGAGCCCTGAGTCCTGACAGGAGCAGACACATCTTCTCGGGCGTTGTGTGCGCACATCCTGCGGTAACTTTTCTAATTGTTGCCAGCACAACGCGAATAAATCAGCAGCCGGCAGCGGGCAACTACAACTAGCTGAGCTGAGGTCCTTGAGGAATTTCGGCAATTTGTTTTCCACTAGTTGAGCCGAGTGCTCCGCAAAGGGGTGGCTATGTGGATATATGGATAGGTAAGTCGGCAGTTAACCCTTTTGGGCAATGCGTCGTCGGCAGTCAACGTCACCTTCATCGTCACACGTCAGCGCACTATCATCGGCTTGTTTACACGCATAATTATGTGTGCCGGATTCCGGGAAATCCTTCAGCCCCGCCCCCAAAGTACCCACCCACCCCTTGCTCCTCTCCTCCCACCCTCGTCCCGTTATCCTTGCGGCTTTTGGGGGCTGCCACAGCAGACGATTTAATGCCTCGTGACAGATTTCTCACTTGAACTTAAGATGACGGCCAGCGTCACAATTTGATGCTGATAATATGCTAATGAGGTTTGTTTATTTGATTTATATTCCCCTTGTCACGGCGGCAGGAATGAAGGTGTCGAAGCCGCTGGGCAAACAGGAGGTCAGGTCCTCCAGTCCTTGGAGCTCACTCGAATCACAGTCAAGTGGAAGTTAATCGCCTGTCGGAGGGAGATTCCTCAGCTCAATTGTATAATTTCGCTGAATTGATAGCGGTAAGTGATCCTTGGTGCTACTTGTTATGCAATCGAAAGTTGAGTTAAGGAATTGGCGGTATTGTTTGCTTAATAGTCGACTAATGGTGTTATAAAAATAATTTATTTAAACAGAACAAAGATATTTTAGATCCTAAAAACCAAAACTTATTTGTGATCAAAACACACAAAACTTGTTCATATATATTTAATATTATATATAGTACTTCTAGTATATTTTTTTTTTTAGTAATAAAATATGTACCACCTCAGTTTTGTTTATATCAATATATTTAAAACACGTTAACGATTGTTTTAATTGCTAGCACTTCAAATATACATACATATGTATTAATTAAAACACTGTTAAATAAGTTAAAATTTTGGGATCCTATTTATTAATAGTCCGCATAACTTATTCTTATTGTAATTATTATCCAAGTAGCTTTTAAGAGGAAAACAACTACTCAAGTTGTCGCATTTAAGATAACTAGGAAGCTATTTTCCTTACGAAGATCGGAATAAATCGGATGAGGGCACAGGTGACTACGAAGACCACCAAATTGGCACGGACCTCCTCCTTGGATCGATCCTCGATTCTTGTCGGCTCAATGGACAGTGTGCGAAACATGTTGACTGCAACTGTGCAAATACTTATTGTTTCTGGCTTTAAAGGTTAAAACATACTTACATAGGGAAAATAATTTGGAACTTATGGGCTCTCTGGAGAAATAACTTGGAAAAACGCCTGCAACGATTTGGGAAAAGATTCAGGAACGAAATCAGTTTAATGACAAGCCTACCGAACTTTGACAACTAAACCAGAGGTATCATGATATTTTGTTAAGTTATATATTATTTGGCTGTTATATATATTTTATCATTGCTCTTAAATAATTTTGGTTTTATTGGGACTTTATTTCACAAAAATAATATACATCAATTCATTAAAAGAACTTCCAAAAGTAAGTATAAATTAAAAAGAAAGAAAAAAATATCAAAACCTATTTTATATGTTCTACACTCTTCTACCCACTGTAATATTATATTATATCAATATTATCTCCGAATATTTGTTTGAGCGTTACCTCAATGGAACATCTAACAGAATTCCCGGCTTGGCTGCAACTCCAGTTTGCTTAGCATACTTTTAGGAGTCTGCTCCAAGTTGGATACTCCAACCGAGTGGCTGGAAGAGACTGGGCCTAAGTCAAATACCGTGTTGTGCGGCCATTAGTCCGGGCAGATTCCGGTGCACATTATTTCTGGCCACGGCACGTGTTTGAACCGCAAACAGATGAATTTCTGCAGTGGCGAGCTCCACTCCGATGAGGACAACGAATTATGAGCAGGCGGCAGCCACTCAGGCAGTTTGCGCATTCCAAGTCTCCGTTTTGGGAGCAGGAACAGCAGCAGGAGCAGGAACAGAAACAGGAGCTGAAAGCAGGAGCAGCACTGCAATTCGTCCTCGGGGTCTTTTTTGTGTTAATAATAAATAAACGGACGGGCCTTGCAGTCCAGAGTTTGGAGTCGGGAATCGGGAGTCCGGAGTGGAAGCCCTGCTTGTGTTTTGGACACACCGGAGCGCATTTTAATGGACGAATGCAGTGGCGGAGTGGAGTGGACCCAAAAACCCATAGCCCACAGCCCATAACCCGTGGCCGTGGAACACCTTTTCCCGACTGCATGTGTGACACCAGGATACCTCCCTTTCCCTCCCCCTTAACTTCCCTTCCCCTCTCTTCCCTGCTCCTCGCTTGAAATACGGCATTTGCTCGTCCATCTTTTGATTTAGCACCGACATAAAAATGATTTATCAGTGACATTAAAATAATGCACACTGTGGCGCATTTTATGTGCGAATGGATTTTCGCGCCTTTTTGTTCTCGTTTGTGCGAGGGGTGAAGGGTGCGGGGAGAGGGGAAAGGGGAGGGGAACTGGGTGGCATAGCCGGTGCAGTCGCATCTACCCCTCCGTCCATTCCAAAGGCAGAGGTCCGACCCGAACCGACCCGAGGGTATATATCGCACACTCTTCTCCCAAACATCTGTCCGTCCGTCCGCTTGTCCGTTTGTCCGTCCGTACGTTTGTCCGTCCGCATCAGACTTTGTGTGCCGCCGTCAGCCGAATGTTTTACTGCCGAGGTGTTTGTGACTGAGTCTCCGCCAGCTGCATCAGTGCCCTATGTACAGGAGTGCAGGCTGCATGGGGTTTGTGGGGTACAGTGGTCTGGGTTGGGGAACCGTGCACCTATCCGGACCTAGAAGTGCCCCCGGGCTGCTGGAGCACCATAAATGTAAACTTTTATGCGATTATCGCGCTCTCTTTCTGGCAGCCACACGATTTTGAGGGCTCTGCGCTATGTGCACAGTGCACTGCGGGAAAATCTACTAATTATGTCAAGGGAATTGCACATATAAATAGGAATCTAATATATTTTAACATGCTACATTTTGTTTTGAAATTGTCTAAAAAGTTTTTTAAGCTGTTAGTCCGCACTTGGGGGCGGCTTTAAATTTGTTTAAAAAATAAAAAGTAACAAAGGAGTGCATTTTGTTTATTAGAGAAGTCAAGACAATCAAAATTTGCCAAGCACACAACCATTTTAAAATTACTACAGCTTATTAGTTTTTTAATAATATATCTTAAGTCGCATAATTTCATAATTTAGATCATTGGTGCGTAAAATAGGCTTTTATTCTGTCTCTATATTTATTATCTTTAAGTTTATTTAACGATCTCAATATGATCAGTAGATCCCAAATTTAGATGAGTCTTTTAATGTCCCACATTGTTTATGATTATTTTCTAGACAATTGGCATTTATCCCCCTTATTTTTCACAGTGCACGTGCTATTTGAAATGTGCCATAATTTGCACCCAGATGTGTGACACAGCACTGCGAGAGCGACGAGCGGGACACTCTGGGAGGAACCTGCTGGCCGTTTGCTGGTGGACAGAGGATGGGTGAATGGGTAGATGGTGGCTGGTGCTGGCTATCAACTGGAACGCGGCTAGGATGTGCCCTGCCACCGAAATGGACGACAGCATATGCCCCCCGTGCGGGGAGAGGGGAGGGGGAGGGGGAAGGGGGAACTCATTAGAGGGGGCAGTGTGTGTGCGAGTTTAATGAGGACACCGCAGGAGCGAGGAGCTGGCGCAGGCGCCGCACAGGGATGTGGATGTGAATCAGGATGGGATGGAGTGGACGGAGGCACTGGAGATGGAACAGATAGGAGGGACGTGGATATGGATATGGATGTGGATGTGGACATGGGCATGCACATCTGCAGACGTCGCTGATTGCCAGGGTCCAATCTCAGTGGCCGAGCGATTCCCATGCCTTTCCCACTCCGTGGCCAGTTGGCAGCGTCAGCATAATTTCCTGATGCTAAATGCCAAACGCAGGACGAGCAGAGCGAGCAGGGCGAACAGCCGAGCACTTAAGCCCATCCGCCATCGACTGACCGACTGCCAGCGCACGACGAGGCGCAAAGTGGGATTGGGATTGGGTTTGGGTTCGGATTGGGTTCCGAGCAGGAGCAGCCCGAATGAGAACGGCCCAGAAGGATGGCGGGATGGAAGGACGGCAGGACGGCGGAATGGCTAGATGGCTGGGCAGAGTGATATCCTGGCGTAGTTGTAGTGGTGGCTCTGTGTCATTGTCTCGCGTGGGGACAGCAGGGGAGCTGAAGGGGCAGCGGGCGAGGAGCATCAGGAGCATCCACAGGACCAGCATCAGCATCAGGGCAATTTAGAGAAGCACACACACACACACACTGACACACCTGTTTTTGGGTAATTTATCTCGAAGAATTATTATTTCAAATATTTTGAGGGGCTGGGGTGCACTGAAAGCAAATTTAGCTATAAACATTACTTCCTGTCTGGGATAAAAGTAGGCATTTGTTAACTTGAAAATATAAATTTTTTTAAACTTAATTATCTTAAAATCAGTTACAATTTTATCCACCCAAGAAACAATATTTTTCCTTCTTTGAAATTCCCAAAATTGTACCTCATTTAAACACCACAATATATCTGCAAAAGAAAAATGATAATATCGTTGCTTCAATGCATTCTGTCATTGAATTTAGTTAAGTAAGTAAATATATTATTATACTACTAAGAAATAAATAATATTTTCAAACAGCTCTCTTGTTCCCCTTATATTTTTTACTGTGTAAAATGAGCAGCCATGGCACACAGAGCAGAGACAGGGCGACGCACCGAAATAAAAGGATTTTAAAATGGTCATTTGATATGAATTATGCGCGTTGGTGCAATTACAGAATCCTGCCCCGCCACCCGGCCACCCTGCCACCCGTCCAGCCGAGTCCACCCCGCATCCCGGCATCCTGGACAGCATCCTGGACCGTTCGTTCCAAGGACTGTGATGCCTTTGTCTGACTGTGATGCGGTTGTCTCGGCGCTTAGAAGAGGCGGATCCGGCTGCTGTTCGGTTGTTTACGGCCCGGCTGCTGGTGGTCCCCGCCCACTTCCACTCCCACTTCCACTCCCACTTTCCCCTTTCGGACCCACTTTTGGTGGCCACCCGCGACTTGGACTTCATCGTTAAATAATTAAATCAGCTGCTAGACTAATATATTTCTCTTAATTGCGAGTAACTCATGGTTAGCGCGTACGCAAAGTGTCCGGGCCATTTGGCCCCGTTTCTGATTTATGCGCCATATAAATAGCCGCGCACCAATAGCTAATATCTCTGATGGGCTGCATATGCAGGACGTAATGGCTTGTCGGGCTAAATGGATGGCCAAAAGGAACAAGGACCTCTCGAAATGAGTTGAAAGTCTGTTTGCTTGAGCGAAAGCGTTAAGTAAAGATCAAACAAAAGTCAGAACTGCTTTCTTCTTAACCTAATGAATTTTAATTAAGACCCTTTAAAACTGATGCTTTTCTGGCAAAATATATTTTAAATATATTATTTAAAAGGTATTAGACTCTGTCGCTTTTGACTTTGGTCTATTCTTGCCATTTCTTAAATATTTATAAATGTTCATATTTTTTTTTTAAGGTAAGGATTAATGAAAATAATTAGCCGTATGATGTTTTGTATAGATTCAATATAAAAGTTTCTTCATAACATTGAGAGGGACTTTCTCAATCCTTGAGCTGCTTTTATGCACCATTGAACCTTCTTTCAATTGTCTTCAGATTCAGACGTCCTGAAGTTTGCATAGTTGGCCAAAATCGTCCTCGACAAAGCGAACACCGAATAATCAATGGAAAATCAACAAAAATGTTAAAAATAATTGCCGCGACACCAGGAACACTTTCCTGCCTCGAAGTCCCTCCCCTTTGGCAGCCGAGGGGTGGTGGAAAAGGAAAAAATTGAAAAAAGAAATGTAAAAATAATCGGCAATAAATTTAGCAAAAGTGTCGAAAACGGCACACACACCATGGGAAAGGGGCGAAGGGGGGAGAGTCAAACATGGCAGGAATTCGGCCACACCAAGAACTCATAGTTCAATGTCCTTAGCAGGCGACGCCTTGCATGGCGGAGGGGGATCGGGGAATGGCAAGGTTCGTGGCAACCGCATTTATAATAAATTGAATTGCAATAACTCAACTTCAATCAAAAATCATAATTCATGGAATTCGACAGCCCAGAACCGGAGCGACTGCAACCCTAAGTTTGAAATGCACTTTTGGTTTGGGCCCGGCGATCCTCCTTCTCTGTCCTTCTGCCCGCTGATGTGAGCGAGTGTTTGTTTCCGTGTCGTACCCGGTAACCTGGAACGAAAAGGGGTATATATCATTCCGAACATTACCAATTGATAGAGAAAACTGGGAGATAACGAGGTCTGTACTTTCACCGGCTTTTGTATAGGAGCATTAGTAATATTCTCAAAGGATTTTGTAATCTCTTAATTGGAAAACTCTTATTACAAGTGAGGGCATATGTGCAAGCATTTTAAAATTTTGATCTTGGTTTAATTGTAATTCATTTTAATTTGATATTATGTAAACTGTACTTAAGCGTCATAGGAATAATAAAACTTTTCCTCAATAATTTTGTAAGCTTAAAAAAAGGAAAACTTTATTTTTTGCTGAAAGCATAATTATCGAAAAAATATAAAACAATTATTTTATTGAAGAATATCCTTTGCATTAGTTACCTAAAATCAAGAGTAATAATTAGAGCTATCGCCGGGTTAGAATTATTTTAATTTAGGAATCATACACAACTTTTTTAAATGGTTTTAAATTACGATATTCGTGCTTGAAATAATTCAAAGTATTTTCTCTCAATCAGTTGCTAGGTATTTTCTAGCCCAAAATTTGGTGGAGAGGATATCCTTTCCGCTTCCTCCGATTTTTTATGCGGTGCCTGCGAGTTGCATTGGCGACGCAGCCGAAAATTATAAATCTACGATTTGACATGAAGACGCGCATGTGTGTGTCGGAGCGATTGTGTGTGTGTGTTTGAGTGCCTCGAAGACATGGATTTATAGACGAAGGCATAAATACAAGTGGCACTGTGTGGCGGGAGCAGAAAGGGAAGGGATGGGAGGGGGAGGGGATAAGGAAGGGGCAGCGAATCGACTGGCCAAAGACAGTGGCAAAAACACTGAAAGTGCACCACCGCCCACGGCAAAGGCGGAACACGCTCAAAGCCCATAAATATCCTGCCAGTTAGCCAAGACAGTGTGTGTGTGTGTGTGTGTATGTGTGTGTTGGCGAAGGAACTGCAACTGGCGGGCAGGAGATCCTTGAGGGGGGCGGAAGCAACGCATTTTAGGTGAAAATAATCACCGCTTCACATGAAATCATTCTGGCCAAAACCGAATGCCAAAGGAAATGCAAGCGGCGCCAAATGGGATACTTGCAAGGACCCTGCGAATCATCCGAAAAAAAGGGAAGCCCCCGGGGAAATAAATTCAAAGTTCGCCCCCATATCAAGGGCAAACAAATCAAAAGTGACAATTTTCCTGGGGTGCGGGAAAATCGTTTAAATGATTTTTAGCCTTGATTTGTGGCAAAGTGGAGAACACAAGAGGAACGACATTTTAATGGTCGCTATCCGAGCGGTTTAATGTGTCCGAAGATTGTCCAACAAGAATTTATTAGATTGAAGAAGAGCGAAAAGAAATGCGAATTTTGATTTCCATTTTTACGGACGGCCATTCACGAAATCCGCATAAACAAACTAAAGTGGTAGTATTCACAATAGCAAGGAATATATTTAAGAATAATAGAAAAGGAAGAAAAGGACAAAATTTGTCATGCTTCCGTTTCTTTATGAGAGAAAGAATACCATTTTACCGAATAAGAGATACTTTACTTTTGCAAACAGACAGCACTTCTTCAAAGATTAAAAACAAAAAATATTTAGTAAGTGAAAGTTTAAACTTTTTTAGATTAAGGTACACACATTTTGTTAGTCACTTCAAAGCGGATCTTAAAAGTAAGCTTTAATATTTGGACATTTATAAAAACCGTTTTTCTTTTACTTTGAACCCTAATAATTAAATCTTTATCCATATGGAAAGGGTAAACAAACATTATGAAAAACATACAATTTTTAATATAACCCCTATCCTAAATGTATAACATAAAATGTCTATTAAAAATTGTTTTCTTCTTTAGCATACCCTATAAATAATAATAACTATTTTCTGATAGCCAAAATAAAACATTCCTAGAAAGTAAAACTCGTACTTTAAATACATAAAATGTTGTATTTACTATATTTAATATATAATTAATCAATATCAGGTATTAAATCTTCGAGATACGCACAAAACTCAAGCAGACTTCCGAATTTTTATTCAGCCGCCAAAGTATTTTAATGTTTATTTATATGTAGATTTTTTCTGTTATTGCAAAAAGGACAAGACCCCGAAGGACCTCGGCGAAAAGGTTGCGGATGCTCGTCGCCGGATTCGTATATTTTTTTCTAGTGTCATAAAAAAAGGGCAGGAATTGTAGCAAGTACGCAACACCTTTGGTCCTGGACAAACACTCAGTAATACACCCAGAAAAAAGGACATTCAACAAAGGGGATGCGGAAGTAATTTACAATTTGGAAGAAGAAATGAAAATCAGACATAAAAGCAAACAGAAAGCGCAGGATCAGGATGTGTCTGGCCGCGACGTAAATTGACAAGATTTATTTTCAATTAAAACAGGCGCTGCGCATTATCCTTTTTGCAGGATACACGACGACGCCGTTGCTCGCAACACTTTTATTGGCAGCAGCGTTTTATGTTTCATCTCAATTGACGATAAATCAAAAGCGGTCGACGCATTTCAACATTTTGCACATTTCCCCGATTCGGGTTCTTTGTTTTTTTTTTGGGGAAGAAGCCGCTTGGTGCAAGGAGGCGGTCGGCAAGGACGAGGCTGCCTTCTGCCTGTGCCACCCCTAAGCCGCAACCGCATACAGAGTTGATGAATGACGAAGGACATGCACATGCAAGTGCCACTGTGTGTGTGGAGTTGACTATGTGTGTGTGGCTGGCAGCAAGGACACGCACACCGATTGGCTGCACGTCGACGTGCAATAATTTCATGTGTCCTGGCGAGCAACAATAAAACGAAGGAACAACTTTCCGAGTAGTCGACCTAAAGATATGGTAAGCTATGCCTACCTAATTAAAATAATTAACAAACTACATATTAAAATGTGCTGCATTTAAAAATATAAAAAGAAAATCTTTAATGCATTTATTTTATCAATACTATAAATTATAATTTATTATAAACCCTATTTTAAAAATTTCGTAGAATAATATTGATTCGAACCAACTCCTCATGTTAAAAGTAATATTCAATCTGTTCTGTCCAAATAAAGGATTTTATTTTACCTTTTTAAATAAAATGACTTGGATAATTATTCACCAAACTATTTAATGTGCCAACTTCGAAACAATATACCCCTCTTACTGGTGATTATCGGGTATAAAAAGTGTAAAAATAAGAGGAAAACGAAGAGGAAAGGGGCTGTTGGCCAAGGTGGATGCAGTGCAGCCGCCTCATTGTTGTCCTGGTTATTTATGGCCCATTAAGGCAAGCGGCAATTGCACATGTGTTCTTCACACTGAGGCACCTCCCAGCCATCCCCACCCACGTCCTGCTCCTTTATGTGTGTCAGAGTCCTTCTTGTTCTTTGATTCGAGCTGCTTTCGCTTTTAATTGCTTCGCCCAGCACAAATGTTAATAATTACACCTTACTGTATAGCGAGCGACTGCAGCGAATGATTCGCCCCGTTTGAATGTGTTTGCGTTTGGGATCAGGGATGTCCTTTTGTCTAATAACCATAAGACATAATTCATGCCGAATCGTGTTTCTCCGATGGAATTTATGACACTTCACCCGCATCCAGCACTCGCTCCACTTCCATTCACGCACGCAAAAAACAATTATGTGTCCTCCAAGTGCTCCGCCCCATTCCGTGGCACATTTAATTGCCTTCGGCCAAAGGATTCGAATGGAGACATTAGAAAAATCTGTCGCCCTCGACAGGACACACGTCGTTCTGCTCAGCTGAAGGTCGTTAAAATGCGGGAATTACATGTTGGTGCTGCAACTGAAATGCGAGGAGATGTGGCATGCGGAAGCTCCATTTTCACGGAGCGTGGGAAGTGCCGAAGGATCACGCACTTACAAATCTTTTGGCCCACATGTGCCGTAGTTTATTGGATTTGACAATTGCTGCAAGAGGGAGCAGTTGGCAGTTCCATTAATTTGGTCCATTATGGCGGGTTTCGTATTAAGCTAATAGTGATATTAAAATAGCAATTACCAATGAAATGCCAAAAAAAATATTCACAAAACATACAAAAATTAAATAAGAACTGCTACAAGTATTGAAAACCCGTAAAAAGGCTGAAAACCTTGTGCATTGTTGCTGTAGTTTTTGCAATTTCACCACTGAAAACTTGTACATTTTCCCGGCCAATCAGAGCTCAGAGTCGCCACCAAATGCTTCGAATCCTGTGAGGCACAACAACAAAAATGTTGAAATCATGGCAAAGTGACAGAATAAATAACACAGTAAATAAATTTGACCAAGCGCCGTCGAGGGAGATGCGAAGAGCCAGAGGCACTGAGACAGAAAGGACGAGGGACGAAGGACGAAGGACGCCAGGACATAAGCCGCAGTAGCTTCCGACTGCTCTTCTTTGCTCTAGTACAATATGTCCTGGTCTGGTCACAAATTTATGCGACATCCAAGTGCGGTGCAAGCTGCGTTTGACTGCTCTCCTTGCAGCCAGGACAGCCAGCTGTCCAATGCATTATCCTTGTCAAGTGTGCGGGTAACAAGCTCGCCATTTCGAGCAGCGTATCAAAGTCACCCTGAGCAGGGTTCAGTTCCGCAAAATATGAGGAACCAGCCGGATCAGGACACCAGAACTTAACTATAAAAAGTTTAGGAGAAATAAAGCGTACTTAATAGACTTAAGGTTATCAAGTTATTATTACCTTATACCACAAATTATAAGCACAAAAATAAATTCAGTCTTTACAATATTACAGCACTAATGAAAAAGGGTTACCCAACCATTTAACTTTAGGTTTACAGCTTACGATATATTTATATTTACAAGTATAAATATAAATATAACTTAAGAATAAACATTATTAAAATTAAATGTTTTTTTATTTGGTTTTTAAAGTTTTTCTCAATGATTTTAATGGTTTATTATACTCACTCACACTTAGTGCTCACTCCACTAAAAAATTGTTTCTTTTAAAAAATAATCAAAGCCAATATAAAAGTCACAGAAAATTTATTGACTACAAAAGATTTAGAAACATAATGCTATTAAGAATTATACAAAAGCTTTTGCGGTCTCCCAAAATACCTTTTCCTATTGTCATATCTTTGATTCAGACGAATCGATTCCTGATACTTTTTTCTTTGCTGGCAAGCTTTCCCTTCTATATTTATTGGTAATTCCCCAGAGGTCGCGTCCTATTTTTTTGAGTTGAGCGGGTCGATTTGTGATCACAGCCACAATCACCGAGAAGATAATGCCGAGAAGAACTGTGCTGATCTCAATGATTAACATTTGCGATCTACGACTAAAGGTGCTGACCAGTCCCGTCCAATAGAGAAACTGGATGATCAGCTCGACGAGAAGCAGCTCCATGGAGAGCCACACACCCACCATGGAAATTTCGCCAATAAAGAACACGACAATGGTCTCCAGGATGAACTTTCCCCACCGAGGAATGCTTTTCCAGTGTTCGGGAATCACCTCACAGGAGCACAGCAGGTCCATCACCGACAAATAGAATATCTGACTTCCGAAAATAGGAGTGTCCTCGAAGGTATTTGGTTCCAAATGGATGAAGAGCGTGGTGTGCAGCATCAAGTGCACGAAGCAAGCCAGCAAAATGGGGATCAAACTGGTCATATCTAGTGGGTTTACTTCCTCAAAATGTTTTTAGTGTAGCATATTTGGCTACGCTTACCTCAGGACTACAAGAATGAAAGGTGGGTATAAAAGTAAAACACTATAATTCAGAAAAAAGAACACTAAAATTTGGAAAAAATAAAAGTTACAAAACTACACAAAAATTGTATTGCACTATGAAAAATACTACTACAAAAATTTGTCACAATATAGAAAGCATGCTGGGTTGAAGCAACTTTTGCATACTATTTGAATACTTATTATTTACAAACTATAAGTTTTTTTAAGCTCGTATTTTATTATTGTCATTTTCATATAAACAGAAAATAAAAATGAAAAAATTGTTTTTTTTTTTTTTTGTACCCTATCTATTGTACTTCAGACAATTCTAAAACCCTTTTGTTGAGCCAAGTTCTTCCCATTTTCTTGGGTAATTAAATGTAAATAAAAACAAGAAAGGAAGCTAGCTTCGCCAAGCCGAAGCTTATATACCCTTGCAGTCATCAAATTTATCGAACAAAACGCATAAAGGCTAGACAACATCGAATCTAAGACGATTTTTCTATTAATTTTCCATATTTTTGACTATAGATCATATGGGAGCTATACGATATAGGTGTCCGATTTTGATAAAATTTAATTCGTAATTCAAGAGTCGTAAGAAAACTCTATATTCCTAAAATCATACTTCTATGATGAAAAACAACGATGTTATAATTTTATTTCCGTTATTTCTATATTGATTTTTCGATCTTTCCTATGGCAGCTATAAGATATAGTTGACCGATTTTTATGAAACTTTTTTTTCAATATAAACGTTGTTAAAAAACTTGATATTCAAAAAATCATGCTCGTGGCGTAAAAAACAACGATGTTATCAATTTATTTTCATTAATTCTATATATATTTTTCGATCGCTCCTATGGCAGCTATACGATAGAGTTATCCGATTTTGATCAAATTTAATCCTAAATTCAATAACAGTTAGAAAACGCCATTTGGAAGAATTCAAGTCGATCTGATCAAAAACAACGGCGTCAGAATTTTTTATTTCATTCTCTCATATGGGAGCTATCCGATATAGTCGGCCGATCCGGCCTGTTCCGACTTATATACTGCGTGCAATAACAACACACCTTTTGAGAAAGTTTCATCAAGATAGCTTTAAAACTGAGAGACTAGTTTGCACGGAAACGGACAGACGGACAGACGTACATGCATATTTGGATTCTGATCGTGATGATGATCAAGAATATATATACTTTATGGGGCCTGAGGTGTCTCCTTCACTAAGTTGCAAACTTCTGACTGAAATTATAATACCCTTTTGCTCTGCAAGGGTATAATGAACAAATAAATATTAAATAAAAAAACTAATAGAACATTATAGTTGTTAAGATAGTTAATAAGTCTAAACTCTAACTAAAAAATGTTGTTAGCTTTAAGCAAAATTTAAAATGATAGTGGAAAATAAAGCAAAACTATTGAATTTAATTTTAAGGCCTTTTTTATAATTTGTATGTTTATATTAAAAAACTTAACTAAAATAAATTTAGTTTTTAATTTCAACATTTTGGAATTCAGGAATATATATTTACGTATATGTATGTTATATAGTTTTTCATTGATATAAACATTCTATTCAAACCTTTTAGTCCTTGCGTCATTATTTTGTTTAGTCAACTATAATTTTTAATCATAGGTATAAGATTGAAATATGGATATTCAGTATGTAAACGTATATATCTAGTTTTTTCATTGATGTTAACATCCTTTTGAGATCTTTTAGTCCCTGCTCCATTGTTCCGTTTGTCTGCAAGAGGCAACCATATCGAGGTGCACTTGTCTGGGCTGTGCCTCCTTAGCACTGAATGTTTAATTCCGCCAGCTGAAAAATGCATAAATACCCTTTTAATTAGAAAATTAGCTGGAAATATGCAGCTCACGTTAATCGCATGACGTCGTCGTCGTCGTCGCAGTTGTTATTGTTGCCGCATGGAAATGGGGCTGACTGGCAAATGGAAATTCAGATGGGTGGCTTTGGGGGTTATGGGGGTTCTGTAAACTCATGCAATATCCAGGAGATGCGACAACAACTGACTGCATGCCAGTGTCCTCGGCAATATTATCCTTGGGCTCCCCTTCCTCCCCTCACCCCCCTTAACCCTTACCCCGTACCCCGTCCATCCTGACACTCGAAATCATTGCCACTCCGGCTTTGGCTCTTCTGCTCGCATCCTGGTTTGGGCCACGAGGAGCAGTTTCAGTTGGGCTCTGCTGTTTGTTGCGACAAATGCCGTTATAATTATTTATACCGTAAGCACATTTTATGGTGTCGCAATTTTAAAATGCAATTAGAAGCGCGCTAACTCTCACTCCCTCGAATGAAAACCCAGCAGAATACCAAACACAGCGAAAAAGGAATTGGAAATGTAATAAAAGGGGGAAGCGTAATGTAATCGTAACGTAATTCTTAATGGAGTTTTGTCATTTCACCAAAAAAAAGCGAACAACTCGCGTTGTTGTTGCAGGCATCACCTGAAATTGTTTGCTTATGTTTGGGCCCATTTCCCCCTTTCCCCTTCCACAAACTCATTCACCTGTGGGCTCCAGCTTATTAGGTTTTCCTTTCCTTATTGAACAGCCGCCACCGCTGATAACAATATGGAAACTCAAGAAAAGCGAGGCGAATTGAATGAGGAAAGCACAGCAGCTGCGGCGATTCAAATATATTCGGAATATTACCAAAAATATGAGTTGGTTGAACATCCTGTGATTTTTGTATTTACTTGCATTTTCTACCATTTCCAATAAAGTGCCCTTCTGCGCCTTGACGAAACCATATTTTTAAACCGATTTGCATACTACTTTAGTGCAAAATGTGTAACGGAATTCATGTGTGCTTTTGAATAGGTTTCCAATATTTTCATTGGATGATATTAAAAACCCAATTTATATTCGTTGTTTTCCTTTTTAAAGAATGCTTACAATATATTTACTAATTCCTACAAACTACTGTAAACATATTTCAAATTTGTGAATAAATGTAAGTTTCTATTTCTGTTTTAAATACTGCTTATAGGGCTTCCCTTTATTCCGTCATTAATATTCCCAGCCAATAAGTAAATTAAATTTCTTTGTCCAGAAATGAGTCCAACTGCAGCATTTATTGGCTGCGGTCGTAAACCATTTGCAGCAATTATCTGCTCTAAGTTCGCACGACGCCTTCGGGGAAATATGCGGAAAATTATATGGCCCAGCCTGGCTGCAGATTTCCTCGAGCTCTTGGGGGTGGATGGAACAACCCTTCCCGCCGTCCACTGCCAATGAGTTTTTAAGCGCAAGTTCTGCTTAATTTATAACGAGGATTACAATAAACAAACTAATCTACGGCAATAAACACTAAAAATCCCCCGAAAAGTGCCCGAAGATGCTGTGTCCCGTCGCCGGGAAACCCAGGGGAAAACGGAGACAGGAGATGAGATTTCGCCACTATCACAGCTGGGAAGTCCTCCTGGGCATTGGGTTCGCCTCGTCGATTTTATAAGTTAAATCGCAGCAATCCTTTGGCCTTTTAAATATGCCATTTCCGTTGCGAGATTATTTTTCGATATCGTATGATTCGAGATGTTTACGAGTGTCCAGTGTCCACGGGCTTCTTGCGACGACCAGATAGGCATCGTCAACCCAAAGCCAGAGCCCAGCCCAAAGAAATGGCCCACAGAAGGGGTTAATGTGCGTGCCTCATCCGCTCGATCCCTTTTTCTATTAACAATAAATTTGTACGATTTTTATTTTGACCGCAACGAGCTTGGTCAAGATGTGTGGACAGTGCGGTTGAAAGAAGATGTGTGTAGGTACAAATCCAGGGAATTGGTCTACAAAAAAAAGTTAACAAAAGCTTGCTAAGACTTAGACATATTATTTAACAAACCTTTTTTTTTTGGATAGATTCATTTTTAGAAGTGTAAATAAAATTTAAATGTTGTTTCTGTGTGAAATAAACTTATTGTTCAGTTAATATTTTTATTTAAAATTCTTGTTCAACCATTCTAATTACCCAAAAGCAATGACCGAAGAAAAGTCAGGCGGCAAAGCTATCTCTTCATTCCATCATAGATACTAAACCCATGACCAATGGTCCGTGGAGGGGGGAATGTGGGACAGACAAAACAAATCGGCAAAACGGGATGCGCGTGATGCCCAAAAGGATGCCATTAAGGACAACGGTTACAATCGTTAGTGAAGCCATTAGTTTGCAGCGCCAATATGCGAAAATCACACACACACCCGATTTTCCTCCCAATTTCAACCCCACCGAAACAATGTTGCAGAGTAAGTGTATAATTGCAAGTGGCACAGCTTTCGGAAAAAGCGAGATATAACATGTAATAACTTTGGCCGGAGACCCACAGCTCCGAAGTGTCCATCTTCCACTAATGTGTCCTGGCCGGGATTGGATGTGGATGCCAGTCTGGCCCACAGAGAGAGTCACGAAGTTGGCAACGACAATGGCCCGGCCAGCGAAACAATAACAATAAAACAAAGGCCAAGACCAGGCGGCCCACCAATGTACGAGCGACTGAAAATAATTTCAGGGATATTATCGCCACCGTCGGCAGATGTCCCAAGTGCGATATGAGCCGAGCCCAACGGACCTGCCTGACCAGGATCTCAGCCGGACATCAACATAATGTCTACTTTACAATGTGGATAAACTTGCAAAGAAAACGAAATCACATCCATATCGAGAGCCAGAGAGACCCCACCTGAATTGGCATTAGAGATGGCAAAAAAGCTGGATTCATCGAAACTTTTGATGATGTGTGACCTTATCTAGTTAAAAAAATGAATCAGCGGTGTTCATTTCTAAAGTCCTCTTTTTAATCATCCATTTAGGATAAGGACCTCTACGTAAGGAATTGGGATCGATTATATTTTAAAATATTGTTTACTTGCTATCGTTTAAATGTATTTACTTCAATATATTTTTTTGTATTATTCAAAGAATTTAAGTTTTTGGGTTTTATAAAGAACATACATATTTTTATAAATCAGTTAAATAATTTTTTAAAGTCACTTTTAAATATTAAAGTCAGATCGCGATATTTTTGGCGATGTACCTTGTTCACCCAGCATGTTCCCTACGAAATACATCCCTAACTGTAACCATCCCATTGACCGACAGGCAGA